CATCATTTAGTCGAGATGTGGTTTGGTTCACAACTCAAATATGTACGTTGCCATTGTGAATGAGTGAGTTTACAAATGCAGCATGTAATACACAACTATGTTAGTCCATCTCAATGTCTCCTAGGCTCACTTAGGAAAGCATGTCTTCACTCCGGTTGACTAAATACAGACAGATCAAAGTATCTTAATATGTCACCTTAGACAGTAAGGAGAATGACAGCAGAGTCACAAGTGGCTCTCAGCAGAGACCTCATCATCAAAGGTGGTTTTAATCATGAAAGGTGTTTTGAATAATGAAGAAGCCATTGGACATTGGCAGTTGCTAGGCAACTCCATCAGCATTACCATGACATGTCAAGGAGCACTGGTTGGGAGATTCAAAGGGTGAGACATGCAAGGGTATTTTAGCATGTGGAAGAAATGTGGGATTTACCAACATATGCTGTGAGGTGTTTCTTCTTTACTGCTTTATCACAGGTTTTGATGGGGTTATGATGGTGGGCCTACAATGTCATTGCTGTAGTTTTGGATCATTTACAAGGATGTAATGCAATATATGCTTTCTCTTCATTCCTCAGACAAGCCCAGTGAAGTGGCAGTGAAAGCAGAGAGAATGATTTGCCTGTTTACTTATCTGTAAAATGGGGGAGGGGAGGGAGTTATAGGATACAATTGGTCACTTTTCTGCATGAAATAACGGAAGATTTGAAGGTATATCATATACGTATATATCATTACAGCATTGATTTAGCAATGTATGCATATGGAATAATCACATTACAAAGGATGCAGTATAATAATGCAGTAAATTGGGCACATCATGATACACTTGATTTCACTACTTTATAACGAGTAAAGTTTGCTTTTTTAGTGATCAATCTTACAGACAGTCTGTCATCTAATCTGATAATTAACATAATTTAGGCTGTAGCAAAATCCTCATCACAATCAGTCTGAGAGTGCACTGATTCACTGAGCATGAAAGCTTTCAAAATGTCTTGTTGATGTTGGCATAAAACAATTAGCAAAGAACAGGAAAGACAATTTAAATGACTAAACGTCAGTTCAACATGGGTGATGCAAAAACCAAAAAAAATCTTTTAACAATCTTATTGTTTTGGCAGTATGGTTCTCCCCTTGCACGCAGGTCATGTTGAGACTAATCATCACAAGTTTCCCTTCTCTCTTTTTTTACCTTCTGTGGTGCCTCTTCTTGCTGATAGTTACAGAAAAGATAAAGTCTAGTGCCTTGAGGCTCTGTGCGGTAGTCCAAGTGGAATGTTTGACAACAGAAACTTGAACACATGCTGTGTAACCTTCACTGACCTCTGCAATCCTATGTATGCATGCCAATACAAGGGGATGCTGTCAAAGCTTCCCATATGTCTCACAGACAGACACTTACTAAAATTAGCACACTTTCTGGTTTCTACTTGTTAGTGTCTTCCAAACATAGAAGGAATAAGAATAAAGTTTTAGGAGCACCTTACTAGTAATGCTGTCCATATACAGCTGCACCATGTGTCTATTTATGTTATTAGTTAAGCTTCTTTATTTTTAACTTAATCGTTTAGCCAAAGTGATGTCTTCCAACTTCGCATTGTGTCTCACCAGAAATCCCAAAGATATTGAACATACTGTAATATGAAAAATGAAACAGCAAATCATCACACATAAACCAGTTTAGTATTTTTTACTCTGTAATTTACTTAATTGATTAATCAGTTGGAGAAATTAAGATCAGAAAAACTGACATTTAACTAAATTCAATATTCTGTATACTGCAAAATGTGTTGCTGTGCTGTTGTATTGGAGTGCTTTGGCATGTTAGGTGTTTGTGACATTGTGTCCACTTAATGTTTCTTTTTTCAATCTGTTCTTTTTTAGACTAACTGTGCAGTTTGACAGTATTGTTGATATTTACTTGATACCTACTCTGTACCGCTAGCTATTATGCTATACTTTTCTGACTTGTGTGAAACTGAGCACTTTTGTTTCTTGGTAGCACTGATTTATTTATTTAGCCTTTTAGTGTGGACAAAGCTTTCTTTCAGAAGTTCTGTCCGTATCCTTGAGAGAGCAGCTCAATAATTGCTCTTGTTTTACTGCTCTAGACAATTGCCCTGTGGAGTAGCCATCCATTTTAGAAAGACTGTTCCATTGTATGGGTACACACATTTGTGCATGCCTTTTTGCCTCCAGTTGAACCACGGTGGAGGTTACATTATTGAGTCGATGATGATCTCTCTTAATTCGACTCTTGCTTGTCCCCATTGAATCCACAGGCACTATTCATTAACCCTGATCAATAGGACCACCGCAGTGTGTCCTGCTATCACAGTTAACAGTCAACATAGGCAGAATGGTAAAAGTAAATGGTATGTACATTACAATTAACATTATAATTGTTTATAGTTTCATGCATTGAAGAAATGGTTGTTTGAATGTTAAGGTCAGAAATTTTAATTGTTGATAATAATGGAATATATTAATTAAAGTTATTATTACAGGAAGACTATTACTTCCAAAACAAATGCAGAACAATGCATGAATAACTTTTATTGCTGAAAATATATGTTTATGGGTATGTGGTAGTGCTGTTGATAGGTTCAAGTGCAAATCCGGACATTTTTCTGCAAGGTTTTTGAATTCTACATATTTTGCGATAAAAATGCATAACAACTACCCTCTACTGGTTGAAAACCGGCTGTGTCAATAGAATTTAGCTATTGGCTGATCTTGAGGCAGGTGACATATGTGTTGGCTTACATCACCAACCAACCTCTGCCATCTCCACTCTGCAGACTGTGGCCTGATACAGACACCGGAGAGTTAGCCTCTCTTAACCTTACAACAGTGGTAACACAAACTTTTACAAATGGCCGTAAATGTGCTTCAAGTGAGTGTAAAAGCTCAGAGTCTGACAGCAGCTGCTTTTAGGTTTACAAAATGTAGCAAACTTTTTGACTTATAAAGGATAAACAGAGTTCCTTCTTCGCAGTTCCTTGGTTATGAAATACATGTTTATTACTTACAAAGCAACAGTATAGCTTTTGTCTATTTTAATCACACCAGCATGTAGGGATAAGTCAAAATAAGTCATGCTGATGACTTAAAACAGGAAACTGTGACAAACTTAAAAAAAAAATAAGAAATTAGATGAGGAACTTATTGTTGAAA